TGGTGAGGCAGTGGCCCAGGTTGCCTAGAGAAGCTGTGGATGCCCCATCCCTGGAGGGGTTCAAGGCCAGGCTGGATGAGGCTTTGGGCAACCTGGGCTGGTGGGAGGTGTCCCTGCCCATGGCAGGGGGGTTGGAACTTGGTCCTTTCCAACCCAAACCATCCTGTGATTCTATGATTCTATGCACTTACTGTTTACTAGGCAAGACAAAATATATTGACTGTAGGGGAAGGAAAGGTTGATGCAATGACGCATTTGGAGACATGCTAATCCTGAAAAACTTTCCAAATTGGAAAAATGAACACAAGCAACTGTCACATACAAATTCAGTTTGATATAAAACTTGCTTTAATCTGATGAAAGTTAATAATAAGGTTTTGTTTAGTATAGTCTAAACTCTTAATGCTAAGGCTCCAACACTAATTAAACTATTATTTTTAAAATTCATCACAAAACTAGAAGATAACAGGTTATTGTGAATGAAACACTGGTAGGAAAAAAAGCAAGAGTTAGAGGCTTCTCATTCACTGGTTATACAAAAAAAAAAAAAAAATTAAACATGACACCTTACTTTAAACTACATTTACCAAAATTTTCCATGTCATTCTTTTGAAAAGGAGATAATTTTTAAACAGTCATAATAAAGAGCTTGTAGAACTAATATATATTCCATGATATTTTTAACTGCCTTAATCTGATTTGTACAGATATTTAAAATTTGCACAATTAGACTTCTGTCTTGCTGATAGAAGTTCTAATAGAATCAAACAAAAAGTTTACAAATCAAAAAGCATTTGTTCTGTTTTATCTCGGGCCAAGCTACACCTAATAGGTTGCCTGTATGTTTGAAAGTTGTATAATCTTGTTTACAGTAAACTTCAGCTAACTTGGGGGTCAGTTTGTCTTGTCCTCTCCCCTAGACCTCTTGTCTTTTTGGTGTGCTAGAAATAAGGGGAGGGGCTTCTGGGTTTTCTGAACTGTTCATGTAATAGGCAAAGGTATACTGTCTGACTACATTTGAAATCATTGTGATTAATAATTGTAGGTGGCAAATGGTAACAAAAGATGTACATGAAGTCCATTGCATGTGTTTCTTTTTTTTTTTATACTGTACATCTTACTTTAGAAGCACCTAGGCTAACCGACAGGCACTTTAATATAAACTTAAATAAAACATCCTAGGAAAATTAACAAAAGCTCTCAGTATGCTACACAGGATTTTCTCACATTTCAAAAACGTGAAGAACTGTATCCTTTCCCATATTTAGACATGCACTTTTACCTTAGTTTGTCTTGAGACAAATTAAAGCTTCCCTTATGTATTCTCATTTTACTATCAGCAAAATGTGGCAGCAAATATGTTTTGATAAAAGCAGCAAGGTTTGCTTAATCTTCTGCAAGTCAGAGGTGGAATCTGAAGAGCAGATGTTTGGCTTATTCAGATTTATATTGTTATGGGAGCAAAAGCTTCCTGAAGCTGATGGAAAAACTTACAGTGACTTCAGATCAGTGCAGGAAAAACACCCTTCTGAGAATTTTAGCTTTAGGAGTAATTTTGACTTTAATTAATTAGAAAGTTAGGAACCAAATATGTTTCTCTTTACCTAACTTACCTACTGCTGGGTTTTCTGTGCTTAAGTAACCAGTTCAAGGAACTGGATTCTTGGCTGCACATAGTCTTCTTGTAATGAGGTCAAAAATAGACCATTGAAGTATTTCCCATGTGGTGAAGATGACTGATAACACATTTATGACTCCTAAAAATGCTTTTGGTTTCAGGCATACAGAATCCTTTTTTTTTTTTTTAGGACTACCAAGTTGACTGAACTAGAATCCCGTTGGAAGTTACTGCTTCTGTACAGGTTTTGTAATATGATGCTTCTAGTCAAAGAATAATGTAGAAGAGATAGCTCTCTCTTAATCACGTATTGACACATTTGAAAATCTAAATTTGGCTAAAATATGATATTAGGACTACAAACATTAATGTTTAAGACCATTACAATTAGCAATTTGTAGAGGTCATTTTCCTTGCCATTTGATAGATGATGTAATTTTTATTCCTTGGCTCTAGCACCTCCAAGGAAACTTATGAAAGGGTGGTGCTTGGTTATCAGTAGGGAGATGAACTCTAATGTATGCTAATATTTGCAATCTCATCCTTCCATTTATGCAGTTTCTGATCCATTACCACTTTCATTGGCAGTGCCTGCAAGCATTGTAGACTTTTCTATTTGTGTAGGCTCATGATTTGTTGATTTAGAAATGATTTCTGAACCATGATGCTCCTGAATGAAATTTTGGACAGGGGAATAGTTAGGTCACTAAGAGGTAGCTGGTAACAAGAGGAAGCCTGCATGGTCTTATTGAAGAGGGGCCCTTATTTAGGAGGCCATCCTCTGTTGTAGGGGAATGTAGGTTCTTAATAACAGAACTCAGTAAGAAAAAAAATCAAACCTGAAATCTTGCAAATTGTTTAGAAGTATTTTAATACTGCTGCCTTAATACCATTGTTTCTGCTTCCATGTACCCCAGGAAAATGAAATCAGCTTCAACATCTAGAAAGTGTTGAAAAACTGTTTTTCCTTCTTTCCTTGTGCAAGCTCCTGTTTGCAGAGAGGCAGTTCTTTGGCAGCAGAATGCTTTGGTGTTCATCCCTTGATTCCACAGCCAGATCCCTGGGGTGGTTCCCTGCTGACATCCCAGGCCTTCAGAGGGTCACCCTCTGATGAGGATTCTTAACTTTTCAACATAATAATGTGTGTTTAGTTGTGCCAAACTGTATCTATTTTCTTCTGGCTACCGAGTAGGTTTGGAAGGTGCATTTTCATAATAGTTTTTCATAATTACATAGTTTTTACTATAATTTAAAGACCAGAATTAGGACTGGAAAACTATTTTGGAGCGTGATCCTGACGATTCTGTTGCACGATCAGGCTTTACTCAGAGTCAATGAGGGATACTTGTCAGGAATTGTGGGATCGAGTTCTCGGTTAGGACTTTTAGTTCTCCATGTGCTACACTGCACTAACTTCTTGGGGTTTTTTTTTAAAAAAAATAAAAACCCGAATCTTTATATTATAAGGTAATGATTAGCATTTTAACTTGTATCAACAGGGAAGTTTGGGAGTGAGCTGAAATTTTTCCATAGCTTGACTCTGTTAAGTTCTGTAGCTGCAAAACATTAACTTTGGAGTTTGTTTTTATTGTAATAGCTTATTTTATAGATTTGTTGACATTTTTAACATGCACTATTTATAGTACTCTTAATACCAACTTTTTGAGACTGAATATTCCAATGAACGTGCAAATATTAGACTGAAGATCTTAGTAGATTATTGTAGTTAATACTTAACCTAACTGTGAAGCAGCTAACAGGGAATAACAGTTGTTTTTTCACAGATAAAATGTTCAGAGGAAGAAGATTTTGACTTAAAGTGCTGATTGGCATTTTAACGTAAAACTTAGTGCTGGAAGACATGTCCCACCAGTGTTTCCTAGCAAAATGACCTGTTGCTATTTGTTTTGTTCCTGAATGTTTGGGGGGTTTGCTTGTTTGTTTTTGTTTCTTTTTTTTTTTTTTTTTTTTTTTTTTGACGAAGGGAATGTAATTTAGAAGTCTTCACTGGCAAGTTTTCTATTAATTTTAAGCTGCTTTGAAAATCTACAGCAAATGGATGTTCTGCTGCAGGAAATCTGTTCCCTGCTGAAGCATTTTTCATTGAGCAATCTTTGTGTATGTGCTTCTAAGTACCTGCTCTGTTAATATGTATTTCAGTGTAAAGAGCATATTTTATATGCAAAGAAATGAAACCAGTTATGAGCTGTAAAATAAATTTTATTGTGTAGTGAATGTTTTCAGACTACAAGGTTAATTCTGAAATAACTCTTACCTAGTGTAGTTTATGTTGTGAGGCTTTGCTTTTGTAAGATATTAATAAAATAATACTTTCTAATCAAGTGTCACGTTAATTCTTAATTACATATGCTTCAACAGCTGGAACTGGTGAACAGCTTATGGCTAGCTATGGTGTCGATATGGAAGGTAAGCAAGGAACAATGTATTTATGTTTGTCTGCATAAGCTGAAAATGTTTCATTTTTGATGCTGAGCCAGGACACTCCTTTACTCTTTTCCGCTGTTAATGTTTCACATTTGGTCATCTTCCAAATTCTTTGTTTCCTCATATTTCCCTCTTATCAAGAGTGCTTGTATGTCTGAAATTGGAGTTTTTATCGTGGTGAGGTCATTGTCACTGCATATGGAACTTCGGTGTATGTTTTTGTTAGCAGCTTTGAAGGTGGCACCAAATTTAAATTTCCTTTAAACACTGGAGTTAATCCTACGTGTGCGTATGTGCATGCAACTCAAGAGCCTTAATTTAACTGCATCGCAAATTCCTTGTTTTTTGCAAAGTTTCCATCAGAGAAACCAAGAGCCTGATCTACAAAAGAAACTTAGGAAACTGAACCAGGACTTGGATTAAATTTAGGTGCTGACAGCCTGACTGTGGATGCTCCATTTCCTTGTCAACCCCCTTTAAGCTTGAAGTGCTAAACTCCATCTCACTTCTTGTTTTTATACCTTTCCAGGCACATATTCTCTGGGAATGCTCAGCTACTCCTTTGACAGAGCAGAGCAGCTCACCCTCCATGGTAGTCTTCAAAACCTCAGCTAGATGAGGCTCTGAGATGGTTAAAGCTAGTCCTGCTGTAAGCAGGAAACAGGATTGGATGACTTCTAGGTGTTCCTCCTGGGCTAGCTTTTCCTATGATTCTGTGAAATTTAAATCTAAGGAGGGTTTGCTGTTGGCTTGATCTTCAACATCAAACATGGTATGCTAGACTGTATTTCTGTCACATGAAGACAGGAGCTAGGGAAGGCACAAGTCTCCAGAGAAAGCAGCTGTATATCTCAGATGTTTGCAGCTGGACTGCTGAAACAGTATTGCATTTTAAACACACCAGACTCTTAAAAAAACACCAACTTTCTCTATGTCATTATTTAAAAATATATTTATTAACTATATTGGCTGCCTCATGTTGGAATAAAGAAATTACACTTGTAGCAGGGTCAGAATATTGATTTTGTAGGCACGTTTGGTTTTTCAAATTGCTTCCTTGACGCAAGTCTTCCAAAAATTCTGTTTTGAGTTTGTTGAGTTCTTCTGCCAGGCCCTTCATCTCATGTGGAAGCACGTTTTTATCTAAAAGGCAATTAAAGGTGAACTTTTAACTTCATGTTTAAATACAAAATTTACAGACTTTGACTGACATTGTACAAATAAGTTTGACCAGACTTCTGCAGCAGATGGCCTCAGTGTACCTGCAGGGCTGGGATTCCTTAACAATTTACCCAGAAGGAATTTAGTAAATTTAGTCTTACGTTGCACCTAAAACACACTACACATACCTTTTGCGTCCTTCATTGTCTGCGAGATGATGCGTCTGCACGTCTGATCAGCCTGATGGACAGCATTAGCGGCACAGATTGCTCGATCTGCTTCCTAGCCCGCGTGACCAGCAGAAAGGAAGAACACAGGCAAACATTAAATTTTATTTAGACTATCATCAGCTTTTGAAGAACTCTTTGAAAACAAGTAACACGTTGGTAGCAACTCAGTGACTGGCACAGGGCACATCTGCTCCTTTGAATTCGGAGGCAGGTATGTTTGCGTGGGTGACTGCCAGAGACAGATGTGTGTGACATTAGGAAATGAACGTTATTTTCCTCAGTGCGCTGTGACAGCTCCAAAAGGCATTCTTTTTACTACTCTAGAACATATAACAGTACTCCTAAAGGTAGTTTGGTGTCAGAAGGTGCCAGAAGTGCCCATTTCAAACAGAATTAACTTTCCTGTGTATGCTTTTGCAATCAAGAAATGCAATAGGTATTTCTCAGTTTCTGTCATCATGGTGTTCTGAATCCAACTCAAGACTAACTCCCTTCCTCATTCACCATCATCTGAAAGAGCTGTGACTGAAGACAGGCAGCACTACCTTTTGCTCAGTGTTTTCCTCGTTTTGCTTCACTGGATTTTCCAAAGCAGTGGCCAGCAAACTAATTATCTGCTCACTAAGAAAACAAACAAAAGAGTAAACCATATTAATTGAACAGTTCCACTGAAGATTTTTCTTTCATTTTGTAATGACACCTCATCACAGAAAAAAAAGAGCAAGTTTTCAGCTAAATTTATGAGGCAATCAATGAAATAATCTTTATACAGCAAGTTAGATGAAAACAAATTACAACTAAAACTACAGCAAATTATTTCCAGTCCTAATGTTTCAGACAATTTACATAAATTTTCAACAACAGCTTAGAAGTGCAGTGAGGTTTGATGTTAACTCTGCAAAGAATGATGCCTGTGAGTTCCCAATAACTGGCACGTATTAACTGGCTTCCAAAAAACACCATACGGAATACTTTTTACATACTGTTTAGATACAGTAAAAAGCTTCTACCTGCTGGTTTATGAAAACAGTAGTTATTGAAAACCTTTCCGTCAATGCATTAGCATACTTATCCTCCGAAGTACAATCAAAACTTCTCAGAATGCAGCTGTTCTGTTCCCAAGCATTTTTCTCGAGATCTGGCATTTCTATTTTCCTTGCCATTAAATGTATTGTCTGGTCAGGTAACGGATGACTTCTGAGACGGTTTCTCTGCAAGCAGCATTCCAGTGGACACTCTAAAAACAACTGGCAGAAGCTCAAGGAATCTGAAAGAAAATAAAGAGACAATTTTAAGCTGTTTAAATAAAATTTTTTGAGAGCAACATGCAGAAGATAAGGCTTTACTTGAACGAGTAACTTGTACGCTAGTTCTGAGCCTGAAAAGAATACAAACCTAAAAAGAACACAAACTATAGATAGGAAAACCTTTAAGTGACCATTACAAAAGGCAGGTAAATAAAACAGAATTTCCTACAAAGCTCAAAACCTTTCCCCTGCGTAGGAACAAGGAGTAATTACATTTGCGAGCCAGCTGGTACACCTCGTATCTCATGCTCCGATAATAAAAATTGTCATCCAGGATCAGCCAGAGCGGTC